TAATCAAATGTAACCTATTTTTATGGTGGAGAATTTAAATACCTTTATTTTCCAATTTGCATCTTTCTTCCAGATATAACTGTTGCCGAGAAAATGTCCAAAAACCGAGATGTGTTGTTTTGTCAAAATTATTTTTGATCGAAAAATCAACCCTTATCTAGATAAAGTTTTTTTTTGTACTGAAAAGCAACAAATAATTCGCAACTTTTGTCGGGACTAGTGCTTTTATTAAAACGAAATAAAAAAAATTCAGTGACATATGTTACTTTCTTAAATATAGTTCAGTTTATTTTAAACGAATATTATAAAAAGTTATGCTTTCTATTAGACCAATTACATGTATTTTTAGGTATGAAAAAGAAAAGTTGGAATAAATTGAATTAAAAATACAAATAAGAAATAGTTCATATTGTAGTTCACATTTATATTAAATTGCTTTAATTTTTATAATTCAGAAGAAATAAAGAATAATTCACTCTACAGCTAATCATATTCGTCAATATCCCAATCATCTTCCAATTGTTCTTCACCTTCAACGTGCAAGTTATTGTAAAAATTATGAAACTCTGCATTTATAAATGGCAGAACGGACTGTAAATCACGTTTTTTATTACAAGATATTGGCAAAGGAGCAGAATAACATTTCTTTAATTCGAAATTTGTTATTTTCCGTCGCCGCTGTGTTATGTCTAGTTCCTTGAAGTCCTCGTCCGGCTGTAAAGATAGCTTGTACTGTAAAATTCCAGACTTAGATTTCTCATATCGCATCCAACGTATTAGCTTCCATTCAAATTTGTCACCTTTACAAAACAAAAAATAAAAATTAGACTAAACATATATAAACATAAGTAGTGTTACACGCACCTAATGTATTAGTATTTCTCCACGTGTATTTGTTCTTTAATAGGCTACCGAAGTCAAAGTATTGATCTTGAACCATCTCGATTGCATTGTATTTGTGATTTGTAGTTACTATTAAAGTAGCCCAGTCATGTGGGTGATGTATGGAATTCACACATGTTTTCTTCTTTTTTTCTATTTGGGAATGAACCGTGTCACATTCCATATGCGTGTGTCCAACAACCAGAAACTTGTGATCAATTAATTCTATAGTTTGATGATCCTCTAAAACCTTTTCAAACATGGCGCAAATATAAGAATTTCGGTTTTGCCCTGGACAGGAGTCGCTGTACAA